ATACACTTTCCACTTCATTAAAATACATGCTTATATTTAATTGGGGTTGCTTGAATTTATAAAACAACGTAGGATTACATTTAAAAGTTCAGTTTTTCACAGTTAAACTTCAGGCATTATTCTCTGTTCTCTCTCTCTTTTTTGTATTCAGGTTCACACATTTCCAACCTATTAGCTTTCAGTCTGGTGTGTTGAGTCTAGGTGCAGAGGTGGTGAGAGGCTTCACCAGAGACAGTGGGGAGCAGAACAGGCAGACCCACTAAGTAGGCTGCTAAGGGGAGCAGCCTGGGAGACAGGAGAGGTCTTCTGCATCATGTGGCTCACCTGTGGGGCCAGGGATGGTGCTCACACTGAAGCAGCTGAGGTTAGTTTGCAGTGCTGTGTCTTAACCCTTTGCAACACCAGGGAGGGCCCTATATTTTCCATAATTATTTTAAAAGTGTGTCATGTGCTTAGCTAGCACTGATCCATAGATTAATCTATGATATCCCCCAAAGAAAATTGTCCCTTACAACTCAAAATGTTTGGCTGTTAAACTGTCAATAAGCTTAAATAATTTTTCAACATAATTCAGAAAAATAGCATTTTAAAATTTGAAAAAAAAATACCTTTTTTTTAAATTAAAGAATAAGTAATTCTCTCCTAGGGTTTACTTTTATATTATGTTTCATAATATCCATGTTTATGGCGTTTTTCAGAGAATTATGAGAGGTTATATTCTCAGCAAGAGAATACTAGATTCTAGAAAGATGATTTCATTAACTCGATGACATAGGGCTACCTAGTTGCTGAGCCATGGGTATGTCAGGAATCACTATCTTTCTTTTCTACTAGCCTGAGGCTAGAGTGCATTCATGTAATCATTTTCATTATGTACTTCATTATCCAGAATTATTCCCTGTTAACTGTGAAAAAACAAAACAAAACAAAACACCAAAAAAACCCTCATGTTCACTCTTTAATGTCCCAGAAAAGAATGTATGTTTTCCTCTAGGGGCATCACTGTGAACTTGAAGAACTCAAGATTATATAAGAGTCCAACTGCACAATATTTATAGCTTGCCTTTGTTGAGCAAACAGTTCACTTCCACAGGTAAAATGCAAACTATTCATAACTTAGAAAACATGCTAGAGACAATTCCTTTGATTAAAAAACATAGACTATACTTTAGCATTTATATTTAGAGAACAATTTTGCTGAACTCCAAATTATATGAAAAATTGAACTACATGTCTTTCAGGGAAATTGACTAGGGAAAAATGAAGGGCTTGATCCATATTTTGGTCAATTGAGCTATAAATTAGAATTTTTCTCTAATGTCCTTAAGGCAAGATAATGTCCAGAATAGGAATACTAGAATTAAGGAGTTACTAGTTTTAGTAAATTATTAAATGGTGAAAATACCAACTACCCACCAGCCACTATGAGAGCATAATGTTTTTTTCTGATTAAGGACTATCCAAATCTCAAATTTAGTTTAATACTTAGCCAATAGACCTGAAGTAAGTCTAGTAAAAAAAAAAAAAAATCATGATCTATTGATATTTAATTGTTTTAAAAATAAATTTGAATGCACAAAGACATATGCTTTATTATTTCTAGGTGACAGTATTTCCAGAATTATGAGAAGCTTCTGTGGGTTTGCTATGATGAAGGAGAAATAGAATGTGAAGTTGGAGAAAGCTTGGATTGGATCCTCATTCTCTTAAAAACGGCATGAGCTTGGGACAGGTTATGTGCCTATTTGGATCTTGGTTTCTTATCTATCAACAGATGTTGAATTATCTAGTTTTTAGTTGCTGTGTAAATTACATTAGATGATGTGCACAAAATTCTTAATTCACACGAGGAGATTTACAGCTATCACTTTCATTCTCATTGAGCATAGTATGATATTTTTTTCATAGGTGTCTGATGATTTGTAGTTTTTGATTTTGGGAACTGAGGAACTGATACCATTTTAGTCTTTTGACTGACCATGTTTTGCTAAAAATTTGAGAATTATATTTAAGTTTTTCTAGTTTTTGTTGAGGTGAAAGAGTCAAGCATAAACATTCTGGTGTTTTTAAAATAACAGTTAACAAAAATGCCTGTAGAAAGACCAGTTTAGATGAAATAGTTAAAGGTTATGTTTTTCTCTTGTGACTTTTTTCTAAACACAAATACAGAAATGATCTAGTGGAATATGATTTGGAGTAAAATATTCCTTCATTCATAAATCACCTTCTTGATCTGCTGGCCAGGGGAGACACAGCCAGGGTTATTAGAAAATTGTGTTGACTCAGGAGTATTAAGGAAAAGTAAATAAGAAATAGTGCAAGTTTATGGACACGTTCATAGTTAGAATACAGTGACACTTACTCATTTTTAAAATGTCTTATGACATAAAATAGTATTCATAGAATAATGCCTTAACATTATTTACTACCATATAAAAGTTTAGTTACATTTTTAAAAATATTGGTGCATGTATTGGGACCCATTACAGCGATGATTTTATTTGAAAAGTTTTATATTATGACACATATTTTGCAGCACCTAGCTGCAGTTGAAGAAATGTCGTGTGTACTCATCTTTCACATGACAAACACGTTGATATATTTATACATCTCAAGAGCAAACACAGTGTACTTATACCATGATTTGTCATTGAACAATATATATCTGAAAAACTGGGTCAATTCTAATCACTCTTTGGTTTGGAAGAACTAATTTTTCCAAGTTTCCACTGTCACTAGATGCCACATCTACTGATAGAGATATTTAATACAGTTTCGGAATTCAAAGATAAAAGTACTTCAGTTTCCTAAAATGTCTTAATGCAGGTATATCAGTTACATAAAGTTTGAAATTATAGCATCATTCAGTTTCTCCTCTGCAGTTCAACAAATATCTATTGTCTAATCCTTCCCTTTAGAAGACCTCTGATTAGCACATTTTTTGAAATTTCATTTGCATATATATATTTTTCTTAACTGTTCTTCTCATTGCCTGATTCCTGTTTTGAACTTGACTCTTTACAGGAAATATTTCTGTATGTCATACATAGAATCCTGAAAAACAAGAGAGAGGGAGAGGAAGGAAGTGGGAGAGAGAAAGAGACAGAAGAAGGGGAAGAAGATGGAGAGAAATGGAGAAAGGGAAAAGGGCAAGAGGATCTTGGTGGAGAAAGAGAAAAAAATAGGAGTTTTTTTAAACAGAAATTTATTTTTGTTAAAGCATAAAAAATCATGCCTACTTATACTACTAAGTGATGTATTTGTAAGTATTATTGTACATAACATTATAAACCAAATTATACATAATCACAACTATTTCTGTGATTCAGTGCATGTTCTCCTGGGTAATGTATAAATTATCTAGTTTTGGATAGGAATCAGAATTGAGGTAGGGTTGCTATTATATTTTATAGTATATTTTTGCATGTTATAATAAATGATTACATTAATTGCATTTAATTCTACTCTAGATTTCTTAAGAAGCAAATGACCATGTTTAGTTCTGTAGACCTGTTTATAGTGTTGCTTCCGATGTGTATTAGAAAGTCTTCCACAGATCTGGGGACATAACTAGGAAAAAATGGATTTTTTTTCTCTTTCTAAGAGTATTTTTAAATCATTAATTTATTCTCTTTTTTACATATAATTTCTCAACATAAAGCCCTGTTGTGTGCTTCACGTGATGAGCTTCAATAATTAGAAAATCATAAATTCAACCTGACCTTATAAGTGGTGGGGTTTCACTTCTTTTAAATAGTTTTTGGTTATGACATATTGGACACATATACTACAAAATTTTCCCTAAATAGGAAAGGGGGAGTATTTAATTATGTTTTCAGAACTGAAAATTTTGCCCAGGTATCTGTATTTTGTTAACTTATTTTCAGTCACCCATTGCCTTTATTCACACTCCACTGAATGAGAAACAGTATGATCGATAACACTTAGGGAAAGTGTTTGGATCTTGGTTTCCTATCTATCAACAGATGTTGAATTATCTAGCCACCAACTGATTGAAATCAGTTTTGGCCAAGTGTGATTTTACACTACTGGAAGAAAAAAAAAAAAAAAAAACCCTCCCCAAAACATTAGTTTATCTGCTATTTAGTGTCACAAACTTCAGTTAAAAAAAAAACAAAAACAAAAAACTCCACAATGAACAATAATATATTAAAACAATAGTCATACTTTATTGTTCATTGAAATATATTTCAAAACTTATCCCATAGACTTTACAGGGTGAATAGGCAGAAATTGAATAGCATTGTTACATTGATAAAAATTGGGAAAAACAAAACAAAACAAAACAGTACAATAAAGAGCAGAGAACAAGACTGAATAGTTTACTATGGAGCACCTCTATCTGTAGAACACTTAACACTTCTCCAAAACAGAACTAACAACAGGATAATTGCAGGACAGGGCAGAGGCCAGATTTATTGGCAAAAGGGTTCCTGAATAGGTTGAAATGTAAGTTCAAGCCATGCCATATTTTAGACTTGGGATGCATTTTAGAATGAAATGGCTTTCCTAATATTTTTCTCATTTAAATTCAAAGCAGTCTTTTGATGGATATGTGCTTGCTTACTGCTATTTTAAAGTGGTGAACACCAAGGAACATGAAGGAATTGGATTGTAGCAAAAGCTAATCTTTAGGAGTGGGTTTTCACTATGATAGTGTGTATTAAAATATTCTGCTATGCATTGCCTTTGTGAATTTTAAGATGGTGCATTGTGGAGACAGATAATAAAACATAACAAAATAAATTGGAAATAAAATAATAAAATTGACCGAATTCTTTTTAACATAACACGAGGCACCAACTTAATATCATTCCTTTGTTTTATTTAGCAGCGGGATGGACCTCCTCGTACCCAGTACTGCCACTCAGGAGACCATCAGATGGAGGAAATCTTGATTTCCTGCCAAAAAACTGCCACAAATATGTAACTGGATGAACTATTTGACTTGGAATCCTGAATAAAACCTAAATATAGGCATGCCCTCAGATTTAGATTCACACAGGATTCAGCTGAAAAACGGGACGGAGGTGACCATATTTATATTAACAGGCTTCAGGGGTGACTTTGAGATGCAAGTCTTCCTGTTTTTACTGTTTCTGGCAATTTATCTGTTCACCCTGATAGGAAACTTGGGGCTGGTTGTGCTGGTGATGGGGGATTCCCGGCTCCACACCCCGATGTACTATTTTCTGAGTGTGTTGTCCTTCCTGGATGCCTGCTATTCCTCTGTTGTCACCCCCAAAATGTTGGTCAATTTCCTGTCAGAGAACAAGGCCATCTCATTTGTCGGCTGCGCCACCCAGATGCTTCTCTTTGTGACTTTTGGGACCACCGAGTGCTTCCTGTTGGCCGCCATGGCGTATGACCGCTACGTGGCCATCTACAACCCGCTCCTGTACTCGGTCAGCATGTCCGCCAGGGTCTACGTGCCGCTCATGGTGGCGTCCTACGTGGGGGGCATCGTGCACGCCTCCATCCACACAGGGGCCACCTTCAGCCTGTCCTTCTGCGCGTCCAACGAGGTCAGACACGTCTTCTGTGACATCCCTCCTCTCCTGGCTATTTCTTGTTCCGACACGCACATCAACCAGCTCCTGCTCTTCTACTTTGTGGGCGCTATCGAGGTCGTCACCATCTTCATTGTCCTGATCTCCTATGGTTTCATCCTGTTGGCCATCCTGAGGATGAATTCTGCGGAAGGAAGGAGAAAAGTCTTCTCCACGTGTGGCTCTCACTTGACTGGGGTGACCATCTATCACGGAACAATCCTCTTTATATATATGAGGCCGAGTTCCAGCTATGCTTTGGACCATGACATGATAGTGTCGATATTTTACACCATTGTGATCCCCATGCTGAATCCCATCATCTACAGTTTAAGGAACAAAGATGTGAAGGAAGCAATGAAGAAATTGTGGAGGGAAATCAGTTCATAAGTAAACTGAATTTTCATCATTGTGTAAAATGTCAAGAAATGTTGATATGAGTCTGCTTCTCGAAACTTAAGAACTAGAGAAGAAAATGTTTTGCTTTCCGTTAATAGTTCTGTATATTCTATAAGTTGCCCCAGCAAAACATTAATCTGCCTTCCTATGCATCATTTCATGAATATATAAAACTTGTATCATCTGTAGACTGTTTATTATGTTCAAATGGATCCATATTAAATATTCATGGAGGTAAGTTTATTGCTGTTGTTAAATCTGTATAATTTGATCTTCACTCATTGCAGCTATGTTATATTCTCAATATTCTTAGATTGCTCTACCTCTGTATTGACTTTCAGTGCTCATTGTGAAATCACTCTCCACGTGGAGGTCTTTCAAATGTGACTGCCTCGCCCTCCACATGCTGTCAAGCAGGAATATATTCCCCACTCTGTCTCTGGTGAAGCCCCACACCACCCCTGCACCTCTGGCCTGTACCCCAGTTCTGTATGCACAAATAAATAAATCTTTAAAGAAAAGAAAAAAAAAACTTTTCAGTATAGGTTTATAAAGGCCAACTATGCTACAAAATATTTCATAAAGTTTATAGTAAAGGTAGGGCACCTATATATTGAGAGAATACATGTGAAAAAAAAGGTTTTAGGTTTTAAGTTTAATATCAAGAAATTTGGAATGGAGGAAAAGACATCCAAATAAAACAGGATGCTTCATAATGCTAAACATTGATTCACAAAAAAGACTTCGCAGTGACTGTTTTCTATGCAAGTAATAACGTACCAACAAATTTTTGGAAGCAGAAACTACCCATCTAGAAGTTTAGGGAGAGAAATAGAAGCTTTCAGCATAGGGAAACCTAATTCATCACTATCAAACATTCTCATTCAGGAGAAAATGAATGAAGACATGAAGGAATTAAACTGAAATGCAACATGTGTTAAGCTAAGACCACAATTACAAAACAAGTCTCTTTATTTGCAGGTATATGTTCAGCACTTCTGAAACTTTTATATATTAGTTAAAACTAAGATATGAGTAAATATAATTGAAAAAATTGCATTCTACTTTGAAATGTACAAAAATTTTGAAAAGTCTTAAATTATTTCCTTTAGGAATTTAACAATACTTGTAAAAACTTCTACATCAAAGGAGATTGGAAGACCCATAAGTAAAAGAATGACATGATTAAATACATGGGATGTCGCTGGCATAGTGTTCACTGGAAAAACCCACCTACAATTTAAAAAGCAGGAAAGGATAGTAAAAGAGGTCAAAAGAAATAAACTGAAAAAATTTAAAGGGAAAATTTTAAAAAATCTAAACAATAATCTTATAAAGATATTGTTTCACATTCCACGTGTCCCTTCCTTCAGTGATAAAATGATTCTGGCAATTTCCTGCTGAAAATATTCACCCATTTAGGGAATATATGTTGAGCAATAAGATGTGTCATTCATTATTTGGATTCTGTAAATTTGATTAATAGCAAATCATTGATAAGTTAGCGTTCATGGGGGGGGGGGGCTTCCTTGGCAGCTCGCGGCTAAGGCTCAGCCTAACACCAGGATGGTCTGAGTTCCATCCTGCCTACTACGCCACATGCGGGGAGAAACCACACAGGAAGATGCTCTGTATTTGTGCTGCTGCTGCAGTGCTATGAACTTAGTAATTCTATAAGAAAAATATTTTTACTTGCACCCTATTTCTGGAGCAGTTAGACCTATTGGAACAGAAGGAATTTCTACAATGAAAAATAATAAAGGTAATGAAGGCAAGGAAAATCTAACAGAATACCTATAATTCATGCAGAACAACAGAAGATCTTACAAGTGTACATGTGTCTGTTGGAAGCTGGGTTAGACATGCAGGCTGCTTCCTGTCCCTTGGTTCTTGGGTTGAGCTGAGGGTGGCAGGTCTGCAAGGGCGTGAGTGGGAGGGTGAAAGGGAAACCCGGCGAAGCCGAGTGGGACCAGCTCTTCAGGGGGACCCACACAGCTGGGCTGGGCTCAGTTGTCAGTTTTAGCTCACACATCGATGGCGCTTGTCTTTGGTCATATTTGAAGTTAAGTATATTTTTTGTAAGTGCCGGAGTCCAGGACCTATATTCTGTGAGGAATAAAGAAAGGGTTTAATGGCCATGATCTGATGAGAAATTAAAATAAGAAAATGTAAAATCCTCAGAAACCAACCTGGCGAGGATTCCAGGAATTGTGATGTATGATCTGCGGTCTGTGAGGCACAGGTTGTGTTTACATTGCAGCAATGCATGGATCAAAGGAGGGAGCATGATGCCAATGACTTCATGGAAAATGGCATGGAATATGCAAGCTTTGGTCTTGCTATCATTTACAAGTACTTGCTAAGCTAGTCAAATGTAGTCATCATAAAGTTAATTTTCCCTCCAGCTGTGGGAGTCATTTAATTTAAGTCGTATTGAGATGAAGGTTAATACCACACATTTAAAAGTATATGTGACTCTGGAAGTAAACTATTTATACACAATAAATATTAGGTGTCTATTAGTCAAACATATATGCATCAATATTCTTTGGTTGCAGACTTAACTCCTGATACTGTAGTAAGTAATTCTAGTAATGCGATCTTTATATGAGTAATTAACTGAAAATTAGTTCTCAAGAGTGCACCCTAATCCACAGGACTGGTGCCATGAGAAAAAAGGATCGGAGCAGAGAAAGATGAGGGCGATGGCCACATGAAGACAGAAAGGGAAGACGTCTGCCTGCACCAGAAATCAGCCCTGACTTCATCTTGAGCTCCGGCTTGTAGACTGAGAACAGTGAGAAATAAATGGCTGTTGTTTAAGCTCCCAGTCTGCAGTATTTGGCTACAACCACCTTAGCAACCTAAACCCTCAGCCTCGTATTGTGCACATGTGTTCACATGCATCTGTGCTGGTTATAAATCAGAGTGATGAGGAAAGAGCAGAGCATGACAGAGAGTTTCCTGTATGTGTGCAAACTGTTCAGGTGGACGTGTGCTGGTGACCTTTATATGAAAGTGACTGCCACAAATAAAAAGATGCAACAGGGCCCTCCCTGGTGGTGCAATGGGTTAAAGTACAGCACTGGGAAGCTACTCCCAGTCGCTTTGGCATGAGTTTGATCCCCTGCTAAGGAGCTGATCCACAGGGTGCAGCTTACCTCTCCTGTTTCACCTGCTGCTTCCCTCAACAGTGTATTTCATTAGGCTGCATGTTCTGCTCTCCACCCTGTCTCTGGGCAATCCTCTCACCAACCCTGCACCCTTGGCCTGTACCCAGTTCTGTATGCATAAATAAATAAATCTTCTTTTTTTAATATGTTACAAAATAGTTTTAAATAATTATTTGAATTGTGAGTCAAATTTATTTCAGTTAATGGTCACTGTGAAAATTACATTTTGTTGATAAAACAAATGTCCCTGCTCCGGATGAGATCATAGTATGAAATCATTAAATTATATATGAAAATTTTCACTGCAGAAACCATCCCTGATGGTTTGAAATAGATTAGTTATGTTTGTTCATCTCCCCTGTTAAAAAAATTTGGAGATCTGCAAAACAAGACCAAGCCAGACTCTTCATTATGTGGTTTCAAGGGAGAAGCAACTGTGTTCTCAAAACATAACATAATTGTGTTGTGTCCTGGAACTTTTCTGCTTGGAAGCAGGCCAAAGACTTCTTTGGGAATTGGTCTCACAAGGATGACCAAAGCTTGCGTTGTCACCATCCCAAATATATGGGGTGCCCTGGAAATAGCAGGAGAGACGAGGCCACCCTGTCTACCATGTCCTCATAGCTCCCTGATATTCTTTAGTGACTTCACTCCAAGCAAACTTCCACAAAAGTGCTAGGTTGGTCTATTTTATGTCAGAATTAAAAAAAATGAGCACACCAAAATTTAAAAAGAACTTACCCCAAAGAAAATACACATTTCAGACATTTCTGATTGAAATGTTCTTCATATTTTACTTATGAGAAAAACTTTAGTTTGACAAATGTTTAGACAGAAGACATTGGAAGAAGGTTTTGCTTTTCCCATCAACACAGGCTCACAGTAAGTATTCCTCTCAGACTTCTTAAACGTTTTAGTTCAACTCAAGTGAATAGACAGTCAAGACAGCATAACACAGGTCGTTTCTACCTGTGATGCCTGTAATTGTGGAACTAGACACAGAGTTAAGGGAATCAATGTATCGACAGTGATAATATTTCGCAAAAAAAGTTTGATTTTAAAAGGTCAATTTAGGAAAACATTTTGTTTTTTTTGGTAAATAGTATTAATTTCAACTAATATTAATAACTTTAAATTTACCCAACTGAAGTCCTTTCAGTTTGAAAAATATGCATCAAATAATAAAATAATGTTAGAAATAAGATATTAAAATTATACCATATATTACATTTATTATTATAATATAATATATTTATTATTTTTAATATCTAATGTTTGTTTCATGTGCTGAAATTAATTACAATGGAGAATATGATATGTGATCAGCTCTTTGCATCGATTTATCTGATAAACTCATATGCTATTCATTTACTAGTTCTGACTCAAGATAAATTTATTAGTTGCCTACATCTTCTTTCTCACCTATAAATATACAGCAAACAGTAAGATTAATATTATAATATTTTCATTGAAATATCAATAAATGCACTAAAAAGGGAAACATTTAGATCTGCATTAGTTTTATTCCAAATAAGCAATATATCTGGTTTTATTACACCATAAACAATGGTCAACTTATATCCATTACTATACTTGACAATCAAATTCAAATATTTCCATCATATTCTGTAAACCATTCATTGTTATCAACTAGCAAACATTTACCTAATGTACATATGCCAGATCATCACAAAAACCTAAACATTTTTTGGGCCTTCCCTGGTGGCACATCAGGATTGATCTGAGATCAATTCCTGGCCAGGGAATTGACCCACATGGTGCAGCAGACCTCTCCTGTCTCGCCTGCTGCTGCTCAGCAGTGTACTTCGTCATTCGGCCAGTTCTGCTCCCCGCTCTGTCTCTGGTGAATCCTCTCATCCCCTGCACCTCTGGCCTATACCCCAGTTCTGTATGCATAAATAAATAAAGCTTTAATAAAAAGAGCATTAAAAAAATCAACATTTTTGAAATTATTTCTGCTAAATAGCTAAGTATGAACTCTGGCTTCTCCACAGGTAAAGCAGTGAGCACAATGCATAAAAGAAACAACACAGACCTGGCTGACTTCATCCTTCTGGGATTTGCAGATGCTGAGGAAATTCAGCTGGTGCTCTTTGCGCTGTTTCTGCTAATCTACCTGGTCACCGTGCTGGGGAATGCGGGCATGATACTGCTCATCCGCCTGGATGCCCAGCTGCACACACCCATGTATTTCTTCCTCAGTCACCTGTCTTTCATTGACCTCAGTTACTCATCCATCATCACTCCCAAAACCTTAAAGAATTTATTGACCACCAACAAGGAGATTTCCTATGCGGGCTGTTTCATCCAAATGCACATTTTTGTCCTCCTGGTTGCGGCTGAATGCATTCTTCTCTCCTCCATGGCCTATGACCGCTACGTAGCCATCTGCAATCCTCTCCACTATCCAGTCGTCATGTCCACCAGACGCTGCTGGGCCCTTGTGTTCGGGCCCTATGTGGTAGGTGTTACAGACTGTTTCGTCACTGTGATTGGCATGAGGCTATTGACCTTCTGCGACTCGAATGAAATCCATCATTTTTTCTGTGACACATCCCCAGTGATTGCCCTCTCTTGTACTGACACCCAGAGCACTGAGACCATGATATTCTTTTTTGCAGGCTGCACCATTCTGGGGTCCCTAATCACAATATCGGTGTCCTATGGGTCCATTCTTTCCGCTATCCTGAAAATTAAGTCCACTTCAGGAAAGAGAAAAGCCTTCTCCACCTGTGGCTCCCATGTCGTGGCCGTCACCATCTTCTATAGCACCATGATCTTCAGTTACTTAAGACCAAGTACATCCTACTCCCTGGGAAAGGACCAGGTGGCTTCTGTGTTTTACACGATCGTGACCCCCATGCTGAACCCACTCATTTACAGCCTCCGCAACAAAGAGGTGAAAAATGCTGTCCTGAGACTCCTGCAGAGGAGAGAGGGCTCCAGGCACTGGAAATAGTGCTGTTGAATATTTATTTACAATTTATTTATTTATACTTATAGATCTGGGGTACAGGTCAGAGGTGTGGTGGGTGAGAGAATTCACCAGAGACAGAGTGGGGAGCAGAACAGGCAGATGGACTGAAGTACACTGCTGAGGGCAGCAGCAGGCAGGTCAGGAGAGGTCTGCTGTGCCATGTGGGTCAGTTCCCTGGCTGAGGATCGAACTCCTGTGGCAGTGGCTTCTGAGAGCTTCATAGTGCAGAGATTTAACATATTGTATCACCAGGGAGGGCCCAAACATTTATCTTTTAAATAATCTTTTTACTTTTTATCCAAGCCATATCTTACCTTTATAATTTTGCTCTTCGGTAACATTGGTTTACACTGCTATTTATATTTTTGAAGAACAGGATCCCTTTCCAGCTGTGTTCACATAATGTTCCCACCAGCAAAGCACCCAGAACACTGAGATCATTATTCTTTTTTCTAGCTGCATCATTCTGGGCTCCCTTATCGCACAATACCATTGTCTTACATGTCCATTCTCTCTGCTATCCTGAAAATTAATTCCACTTCAGGAAAGAGAAAAGCCTTCTCCACCCGTGTCTCCCATGCTCTCCACCCCCACCGCACGGACCCTCTGCTCCTTCCCTATTTGTGCTGGCTCCTCCCCCTGCTCTTACTCCTCTGAATGTCTCAGTTCCATAGTCAGGTTTTATCATCTGGGTGTTGAGTTTTACCTCTGACCCTTTCTTTATCACAAAGATAAGTGCCACCATTGGGTATTTGTATTACTCCTTCTGACTTAATTCATTTATTGTAATCACTTTTTTTAAAAAAAAATATTTATTTATGCATACAGAATTGGGGTACAGGTCAGAGGTGCAGGGGTGGTGAGAGGAGCAGAACAGGTTGACTGTCGAAGTACATTGCTGAGGAGAGCAGCTGGTGAGCGGTCAAGAGAGGTCTGCTGCACTATGTGGATCACCTCCGGGGTGGGGATTGAACTCATGCTGAAATGGCTTTAGCTTGTTAGTGCTCTGCTTTAACCTGCTGCACCACCAGGGAGGGCCCTATCTAATCACTTCTACCTCCATCCATATGGCTCACTTTGAGCTCTGCTTTTCTTTCTTCACTAGAGAGCATTTCCTTGAAGTCTCACTGAAACTATTGACTCCTTTCATTTACTGGTGTTTTGTTGACTCACTGTCACTTGTCCAAATGTAATCTTGGGTATTTCCATGAAGATGCCTCTAGAAATCTATATTGTCATGGGTATCACAAAATAATTCTAACACTTATGATATCAACTTAAGAACATCTGAAGCAAAACACAAGAGAGTTCTCATCTTTCAAATTATAACATATGAATACTCTTGCATTGTCCAAAACTTTATTATGGAAAATTTTTCCATTCTTGGCTCAATACAAATAGCTTCAGCAAACACTGAATCCATTATATTCAGAAGAAATGTAGTAGAGTGACTATGAGCATTTCTTTGGACCAGAAATTTTGATTTCAATTCTAGATCTGCTTACCTTCTGGCTATGTCACCTTCAGTAATTTGGTTAAATGTATAGCCTCAGTTTGTTTGTGAAGATTAAGTCTGGTGATAAATATCAAATTTTAAATCATTTCTAGCTAATATTACCCATTATCATAAGATTTACATTTCTGTAATATTTCAATATGCAATGTTTTTCTTCAGGATATTCTCTGTTGTTTTATGAGTTAATTTTGATGAATTTATTAGATGAGAACATAAACGACTAAAAAAGAAAAATCCCAATGCTTCACAAATTTGGATTTGTTAGGATAGATATCAACATTGGAGAAAACATAGAACATATTGAAAAACTAGCTGGAAAGAGGTATGTACTAATAGCTATTGACAGCTTGGTGTCTATACTTTAGTTATGTATGTGTGCATATGTATTGCATATATTAGTAAAATTTCGGGTGTTTCCTACGTACTTTATGCAGCCTTCTGGTATAATTCATTGAGACATCATGAGATGAATGTATTTCTTGTCTAGGACGTTACCAGATAGCATGCTATGGACTTCAAGTGTTCTCAGCCCATAAATCTAAAATCTGAATGCAATAAGATCAGTTTAATTTCTACCTGCTAAGCAGTTAAAGTCCTACCTTTCTGTGACATGATAATGGCTTCAGTAGCCCCAAATTTGTTGAATCTGTATATCTACAAACCATTTTCCTTCACTGGTTTCTAAGGTCTGTTGTACCCTCTACAATGAAATCTTGAAACAGGCCCATGTTTCTCTAGTTTTACATTTAATGGAGAAAAGTTGTAGAGGTAAGGACTGGTAATACATTCAGATTATGTGGCAAGTCACATGACATGTTTTTTACACGTTATTATATGTGTTGACATTGTAATGACCCTGATGTTGGAGATGTGGAAATAATTGCTTAGAGAAATATCACTTCTCAGTTTAAAGGTGCCCCTTGTTTAGGAAGCCATTTGTTTATAAGCAGATGTGTAGTAACAGGGTCAGTTTAGAAATTTAGTTGCCCTGAGAGTCACTGTGTAAACCGAATTAACAGGTAGTCTTGATACCATGTCTCTGAAAAGTGGCAAAAACATAGATAAGAAAATGAAACCACTGCAGGATGCGTAAGCATCTCATGCATGTCACCTTCTTAAAGTTTTCTCCAGATTTTGGTGAGATCCAGCTGACACTGCCGTTTGGGATAGTGATGTAATGATGTCCTTGTTTGCTGCACACAGCTGCCAAGAACTCTCGTGCTCGATCTTTCTAGGCTCCCAGGACTTGCCAAAAGACTCAGAACCTTCCATCCTTTAATGCCAATTGAATTGTATCCATCCATTGTTGTAATGGGGACTCTTTGAATAAACTCATGATGTGATTATGTGCCCTTGTCTACTTGTCAGTGAAACCTTTACACTCCAGTAGAGTTAGCACTGAAGAGATCTGAACATGCTACAGTGAACTTTTGGCAAAATTGATAAATCACAATACATCTCAGACTTTGGTCTATATTCTGCTCTCAATCAGAAATAAGTCAAATATATGTTACAGAAATTTAAATGCACATTATGGAATGTGGTGAGATTTGCCATGGGTGCATTTAAGAAAGAAGAATATAAGGAGATGTAAAGGAGGAGAATGGCCATATATTGACATGATAATATTGTCAAAGAGAGCTCACAAAGAGACAGATTCAAGGAAGGAATCGTGTGATTAACTGTGTGAGCATTCTGAATTAAAAAAATGCAGACAAATTGCAAAGATATATTGAGGAAAGAGATACTCTACTTAGTTGTGTTGAAGTGTCATTTAATTTTAAATTCATCTTTAGGGATATCCCTTTAGGTTAAAGATATTTAAAGAAACACTTGAGTGTTAAAAATAATAACAACACTGTTATTAAAGAGAATGATAGTAACACTATGGAAAGTTAAAGGAAGACACTTCCACTTAAATGTTTTTGTTTTTTTTTTTAGATTTATTTATTTATTTATACAGAACTGGGGTACAGGCCAGAGATGCGATGGGTGAGAGGATTCACCAGAGACAGAGTGGGGAGCAGAACAGGCACATCGACGAAGTACACTGCTGAGGGGAGCAGCGGGCGGGTCAGGAGAGGTCTGCCGTGCCATGTGCATCTCCCCCCCCCCCCGGGCAGGCGGGGATCGAACTCATGCAGAAGTGGCTTAAGCTTCTTAGTGCTGCGCTTTAACCCGCTGCCTCATCACCTTACAGTGCAAATGTGGTCAGGACTAAATATGCATGTAGTGGGACTGTTTGCTGTCCCGTGGTTCTTGGCCTGAATACTGAGTAGTGGTGGGCGCGGCAAGGGCATCACTGGAGGGAAGGACAGGAAAACCCAGGCAGAGCTGAGTGGGCACCAGCTCTTCAGGGAGACCCAAACAGATGGGATAGGGCCAGTTGTAGGATTTGACAAACTGGCCAGCCAGAGGTTGAAGACGTCACTCCTGGTACTTTTAGGGATAGGATGTTTTTTTGTTTTGTTTTGTTTTGTTTTTAAAGATTTATTTATTTGTGCATACAGAACTGGGGTACAGGCCAGAGGCTCAGAGGAGGTGAGAGGCTTCACCAGAGACAGATCAACGAAGTACACTGCTGAGGGGAGCAGCGGGCGGGCCAGGAGCCGTCTGCCGCGCCCTGGGGGGTCACCTCCGGGGCAGACGGGAATCGAACTCATGCGGAAGCGGCTCTAGATTCTCAGTGCTGTGCTTCAACCCGCTGCGCCACCAGGGAGGGCCGGGATAGGATCTTTTAAATAGTAATTAATTTAAAGTTAGGTTGGAGCTGTACCCTAGTCGGTTGGGGCTGGTGTCACTGAAGGAAGGCTTACAGCACGGGAACAATGAGGACAGTGGACACATGAAGCAGAAGAAAAGACGTCTGCCTAGAAGAAGGGAGAGGGCTTCACCAGAAATCAGCCCTAATGTCATCTGGGAGTCAAGATCTAGAATGCAGAAGAGCGAGAAATAAGCTGTGAATGTTTCAGCTCCCAATGTGGTTACAGCAAACCTAACAAAGTGACACTCCCAGTGTGTGGAGATGTAGATAACAGAACGAATGAAGAAGGGGAAGATGATACAGGTTTCATGTATCATGTGGGGATTGGTTAGGTAGAGGTGTGGTTATGATCTTTGTATGAAAGTACCAAAAGTAAAAAGATGCTACAAAATAGTTTTTTAAAGTCTTTTTGATTGTGAGACAAGGAGCTTAATTCTTTATGTCACTGTCAAGTTGAATGTGAAAAGTACACATTTTTGGTATATCCACAGTCCATACTATTTGAGATCATAGGATTATCTCATGAATTATAAAAATTAATAATCTGTCTCTGATGGTTTCAGTATTCATTGGTTGAGTATCTAGAAACTCTTTGTTTATCTCCCCAGTCAAAATTTGAGCTCCACAAAACAAGATCAAACCTGACTCTGCATTTTGTGGTTTCAAGGGAGAAGGTAATTGTGTCTGCAAACTTAACATAGTTGTATGAGTCCGTAAACTTTTTTCCTTGGGAACAGGCCAAAGACTTCTTCTGGGAATTAGTCTCACAAGGATGACCAAAGCTTGCATTATCACATCCCAGATATACGAGGTGCCCAGGATGGGAGACAAAGCACTTAGAACTCCCTGATATTCTGTATAGACAATAGACTTCACTCCAGGCAAATTTCCTCTTGATCAGGATCTTTAAAAAAATTAGTAGGTGGATTTATTTTATATCAGAATAAAAATATGAATGCACAAACATTTGAAAAGAACTTCTATCAAAGGAAACATAGATTACAAACATTTTGGACTCAAATGCATTTCATATTTTACTCTGAGAAAAATTTGAGTTTGACAAATTTCTAGACAGATCATTTTGAGCAGGCTTCTTTTTTTTTTGTCTTTCTACCAACGCTGGCTCACAGTAAGTATTATGCTCAAAATTATAGTGTTTTATTTAGAATAAAATAAAATGTCAAGAGTCCAGAAAGGCATACACACACATGTCACTTAGACCTTAGACTCTCAATGATGCCAGTACTTCTAGAAGTAGAAATAGAGTTAATGGAACCAGGTAAAACTCATTGACAAAATTTTAGAAAGGTAATTTCATTGAAATTTGTTTTTTTTTTTTTTTTAAGATTTATTTATTTATTTATACAGAACTGGGGTACAGGCCAGAGGCTCAGGCGCGGTGAGAGTCTTCACCAGAGACAGAGTGGGGAAAAGAACAGGCAGATCTACAAAGTACACTGCTGAGGGGAGCAGTGGGCGAGTCAGGAGAGGTCTGCCACACCATGTGGTCACCTCCGGGGCAGGTGGGATGGAACTCATGCGGAAGTGGCTTTAGCTTCTCAGTGCTGTGCTTTAACCTGCTGCGCCACCCGGGAGGGCCGAAATTTGCTTTTATAAGGTCAATTTTCAAAAGCACTATCTTCCAGAATTTTAAACTGATATCATGCATACTGATAGCTAATATAACCCTCTAAAGTCCTTTTAATTTGAAATTGTCATTAATAGAAACATTTTGAGAAAAAAATAAAGATTAAATTTATGCTTAAAGCCATACTTTAATTGTTCTATATATAAATACATTTTTTAACAAGCTTGGTTAAATTAATTATAATGGGGAATCTTGTGTTTGATAAGCTCCTACTCTTAGTTTATCTGTAGACTCAGGGCATCATAATTTAAGAGCTCTCACTAAGGATAAATTTATTAACAGTATGTCCCTTTCCTATCTGAAAAAATTATGGTTAACGGTCATATGCATGTTATAATATTTTCATTTGAAATAAAGACATTAAAAAAGAGAATCACTTAGATCAGTGTCAGCTTCATTCCAATTAAGCAGTACATCTGGATATAGTACATCATGAATAATAATCAATGTATGTCCATTTCTATATATATATAAAACCAAATTCAGCTTCCTCACCCTGTTCTGTAAACCACTCATTATTATCAACCGGGAAACATTTAACTAATTAACATATGCTACATCATTCATAGAAACCTGATTTTTTTGTGATGTTATATCTACTAAGTATCAACTCTGACGTTTCAACAGGTTAATCAGTGGAGCACAATGCATAGAAGGAATAAGACCGATGTGCCTTACTTCATCCTTCTGGGATTTGCCGATGCTGAGGACATCCAGCTGGTGCTCTTCGTGCTGTTTCTGCTGATCTACCTGGTCACCGTGCTGGGGAATGCGGGCATGATAATGGTCATCCGCCTGGATGCCCAGCTGCACACACCCATGTATTTCTTCCTCAGTCACCTGTCTTTCATTGACCTCAGTTACTCATCTGTCATCTCCCCTAAAACCTTACATAACTTACTGACCTCCAACAAGAAGATTTCCTACGTGACTTGCTTCACTCAGCTATACATTTTTGTCTTTTTTGTTGCTTCCGAATGCATTCTTCTGTCCTCCATGGCCTATGACCGCTACGTAGCCATCTGCAATCCTCTCCACTACCCGGTTGTCATGTCCACAAGACGCTGCTGGATCCTGGTCCTTGGGACCTATTTTATAGGTTTTATAGATTTTTTCATCACTGTGCTCGGCATGAGGAAATTGACCTTCTGTGATTCCAATGTAGTCCATCATTTTTTCTGTGACACGTCCCCTCTTATCGCCCTCTCGTGCACTGACACCCAAGACACCGAACTCATTATATTCGTTTTTGCAGGCTGCACACTTGTGGGGTCTCTTATCACAATATCGGTGTCGTACATGTCCATTCTCTCTGCTATCCTGAAAATTAAGTCCACTTCAGGAAAGAGAAAAGCTTTCTCCACCTGTGGCTCCCATGTCGTGGCCGTCACCATCTTCTATAGCACCATGATCTTCAGTTACTTAAGACCAAGTACATCCTACTCCCTGGGAAAGGACCAGGTGGCTTCTGTGTTTTACACGATCGTGACCCCCATGCTGAACCCACTCATTTACAGCCTCCGCAACAAAGAGGTGAAAAATGCTGTCCTGAGAGTCCTGCAGAGGAGAGAGGGCTCCAGGCACTGGAAATAGTGCTGTTGAACATTTATTTTTTCAATGTCTTTACTTTTTATCCAAGCTGAATTTTACCTTAATAATTTCGCTAGTCAGGTAACATTGGTTTACAGTTTTTATATTTTTGAAGAATAGCATCCGTTTTCCAGCTGTGTCCACATAATGCTCCCACCAGCAAAGCACCCATATCCACCCCCATGGGCCCCACGCTCCTTCTGCATTTGTGAGGCTCCTCTCCCTGCTCTTACTCCTCTGTCTCAATTCCACTACCAGATTTTAAGGTACACACTTTGAGTTTTGCCCTCTGAGCTTTTGTCTTGTCTGTCAATAATACAAAGGTAAGTGTCACCACTGGGTATCTGTTTTATTCCTTCTAACTTATTTCATTTTCCGTAGGCCTTTGAGCTCTGTTCATGCAGCTAAACTTTTATGCTCCATTTTACTTTCTTCACTACAGGGATTCCTTAAGTTCTCCAAATACAATGGACTCTATTTCCTGTGTTTCTGATGATCCCCCAAATGTAATCACATTCCCACATGTAATCATCAATACTGTCATTGAAATCACAAAACCGTTTTTTGATGTATGGTCTCAATTTAAAGACAACAAATGCACAAAATAAGAAAAGGAAGTTGTCATCTTTCATTTTTTTTTAAGCGACAATTCCCTTGTATAGTCCAGAACTTTATTCTGCAAAGAGCTCATTTGTTGCTCACTAAAACAGTATCAGAATTCATTGAAACTATTTCTGCCTAAGAAAATAGTTATGTGACTAAAATATTTGCTCTGGAACAAGAAACTTCAATTTTGATTCTAGACCTGCTTACATTTTAGCAATTAATTTATCCTCCAGTAAGTCACTGAAACTTAGAGCCTTAGTTTCAAAACTGTAAAAAGATAAATAATAATCCCAGGTCTATAGAGTATTTGCAAACATGAAGTCAGATGATGGATGTAAAACACTTAAGGCATTTTGAGGCCCTCACTGGTGGCACAGCGGGTTAAAGCACTTCACTGAGAAGCTAAAGCCACTTCTGCATGAGTTCGATTCCCGCCTGCCCCGGAGGTGACCACATGGCGCGGCAGACCTCTCCTGACCCGCCCGCTGCTCCCCTCAGCAGTGTACTTCGTCCATCTGCCTGTTCTGCTCCCTGCTCTGTCTCTGGTGAAGCCTCTCGCCACCCCTGAGCCTCTGGCCTGTACCCCAGTTCTGTATGCACAAATAAATAAATCTTTAAACAAAACAAAACAAAACAAAAAAAACACTTGAGGCATTTTGAATAAAATTGTTCATTATCATAAGAAGAATACCTGCATTATTTTTTAATTCACAGTCACTTGTACTTTGTAGATTAATTTTGATTAATTGGCAAACACACAAAAAACTAAAAAGGAAAATTGCAATGCTTTATAAATTTGGACTTTGCAATGTTATGTGTTAACACTGGAGAAAACATAGAACATGCTGAAAAAAAAAGCAGGAAAAAAGGATTGCTCCAATAATTACAGACAGCTTAGTGTCCCATGTTCTTTTGTTATGTATTTGTGAATATATATTGTAAGCATGAGTAAAATTTCTGGGGTGTCCTGTACTGTTTTGCAGGTTTCTGATACACCTGCAAGTGTAAACTTTGCTCTTCTGTCATTGAAACATTGTGAGATGAATGTGTTCTTGGTCTAGGATACTGCCAGCTAACATTTTGTGGGCTTGAAGTGTTGTAAGCTCATCTATCTAACACTCTGCATATGCAACAAAATCACCTTGGTTTCATCATCTGCTGAGCATTCAAAATCATTAACTTTCTGAGACATGTTAATAGCTTCAATCACTGCTAACTTGTTGAAATGATGTTTTTTAAAGCCATCTCTTGGTTTCTAAATTTTGTTATATTTTTTGCAAGTAAATTTTTGAAGCAAATGTTTCATTCACATGTTTAACATTTTTAGTGGAGAAAAGTTGTAAAGTTCAAACTTGAAAATCAATTGAGGTTATAAAGTCACCCATAAGTTTTAGTCAGGAGAATAGACAGTTTTCCATAATTTTAAAGTCTTCCTCTTAAAAACAATAACTAAGGGGGCCCTCCTTGGTGGCACAGCGGGTTAAAGCACAGCAGTAAGAAGCTAAAGCCACTTCTGCATGAGCTCGATTCCCGCTTGCCCTGGAGGTGACCACATGGCGCGGCAGACCTCTCGTGACCCGCCTGCTGCTCCCCTCAGCAGTGTACTTCGTCAGTCGGCCTGTTCTGCTCCCCACTCTGTCTCTCACCACCCCTGAGCCTCTGGCCTGTACCCCAGTTTTGTATACACAAATAAAAAATAAATAAAAAAAATAAACTTCTGCTTTGGTTCTTAGATAGAGCTCATTCTTCCATTCTAGATCTGCTACCTTTTAGCTGTATGTGAGTCATTCAAATTCAGAGCCTCAGTTTCTAAAGCTGTGGAAGATAAATAATAATCCCAGTTTTGTCATGTTTTAGTAAAATTTAAAGCAGGTGACAAATGTAGTTTTAAGGTATTTCTAATAAATATTGTTTATTATAAGAAAACTTACATTTCTGCAGTATTTTATGTGCATTATGAATCTTCTACAGAATACTCACTTGTGTTTTATAAATTCCTTTTGATTAACTAATAGGCAAATACACAAGTGACTGAAAAGGAAAAAATCTCAATGCTTCACAAATTTGGATTTGTTAGGGTATATGTTGATAGTGGCTTATAGAACATATTGGAAAAACAGAAGGAAAGAGAATTTCCCTATGAACTACTGACAGCTTAGTGTCTGTTATTTAGTTATATATGTATGCATACCACATTGTGTGTAGTAGTAAAATTTCTGGTGTATCCTTCATGCAGTTTTCTTATACACTTGCCAGTATAAACTTTGTTAATTTCCTTGTCATTAAAACACTGTGAGACAGTGGCCAGTGTTCCTTCCCTGTGTCCCTTCCCAGTGGCTAGCGGGTTGAAGCAAAACATTAAGAAACTAAAAGCCACTTCAGCATGAGTTTGATCCCCACTCCTGCCCCAGAGGTGACTCACATGGCGGGCAGATCTCTCCTTACCAGCCTGCTGCTCTCTTCAGCAGTGTACTTCATCGATCTGCCTGTTCTGCTCCTCACTCTGTCTCTGGTGAATCTTCTCACTTCCCACACCCCTGACCAGTACCCCAGCTCTGTATGTATAAATAAATAAATCTTTAAAAAAAAAAAAAACCAGCAAAACCCAAAAAAACCCATTGTGAGACAAATGCGTGACTGATCTAGGAGACTTCCAGAGAGCATGCTGTGGACTCGAAGTGTTATCAGCCTATGGAGTAAAACTCTGCATGCCATAAAATCACCTTGGTTTCTACCTGCTGAATGTTTAAAGTCCTTGTCTTTTTGTGACATGTTAACAGCTTCAGTCATTGCTAACTTGTTGAAATTCTTTACAATTTTTAAAACCTTGGTATCTCAGTTTTGTTATATATATTTTATAAACAACGAAAATAGAAAGGAACAATCCAAACTAAACAAATATAAACGATGGGGATATAACTGAAGAACTGAGGCTACTACTGCAGCATAGAAGTTGGTCATAGAGGCGAGACTGGAAGAGGCAGTGGTCAAGAGGGTCTTCACAAAATAAAGAGAACAGCAAAACACTCATCACGATAGTGACAGTAATAACCATGGCAGGAAGCTAGAAGACCACCACCACTCAAGTTGACTTTCAAGGATTTGTACCTGCACTGTAAATACCATCTACTGGAAGCAAGGCTAAGCGTGCCCAGAGTAGGGTGATTTCTGGTCCTTGGTTCTTGAACTGAGGAAGGAGGAGCGTGCCCCTCTGCAAGAACATCACAGACTGGGAGGGTCAAAGGAAGCCCAGGTAAAGCTGAGGCCATCAGCCCACCGTGATGGGCTGGGGCTGAGTTGTGGGAAGAGACAAATGTGTGAGCTAGCTGGAGCTTACCTGTGACTGAAGCTGGTTTGTTGTCAGTCTTCAGTTGAAGTAGAATTTTGATAAATGCCAGTGCACATATTCCCTGAGAATAATGAATGGATTTGTTTGATCCATAACCTAAATAAGAAAATAAAAGGAGGCCCTCCCTGGTGGCACAGCGGGTTAAAGCACAGCACTAAGAAGCTTAAGCCACTATCTGCATAAGTTCGATCCCTGCCTGCCCAGGAGGAGATCCACCTGCCTCTGCTCCCCTCAGCAGTGTACTTCAGTTCTGTATGAATAAATAAATAAATCTTAAAAAAAAAAAAGAAAATAAAAGGAGAGGATGTACATCCTCAAACATCAGCATGAGATGACTTGGGAATTTGGACATTATCCGTGGGCCCTTAATGACAGGCTGGTTTAGATTGGGGCCAGTGCATAAAGGTCAGTAGGGAGCAGAGTACCAATGACTTCGTGGAAAATAAATATGAAAATGTGAAAATTGTTATGTTCTCAATTACATAGTAGTTGCCAAGCTAGTCAAATGCAATCATTATAAAGTTAATGTTACCTGTGACTATGGGAGTCTACTCAAGTTGAATCTTGTGGATATGATGGTGAATACTATGCATTTAAATATATGTGCTTCTGTATGTAAACATGTATACACTATATATATGTATGTGTGTGTATTATGCAAATATATATTTACATACATCAATATTCATATATTCAAGATGTAAGTCCTGGTCCTTCAGTGTGTAACTTCAGTGATATTTGTGCAGGTAATTAACTTAAAGTTAGGTTTTGAGAGTACAGTTAAATCCAGTGGGGCAGGTGTCATGAGAAGAAAGGATCACAGCGCAGAATATGGAGGGCAAGGCCACGTGAAGAGGCAAAGGCTACAGTGAAGGAGTGGGGCCCACTGGAAATCCCCTGACTTCTTAATGGCAGGCTCCCAGATGAACAACAGTGAGTAATACGTCACTGTTGTTTAAACTGCCAGCCTGTGGTATTAGGTTACCGCCAATCTCACAAGCTAACACTCTCCATATAGCATGTATGTGCATGTGTGTTTATGTGTGTGCAGGTGTATGTCAGAGTGAATAAGGTAGAGCAAAGGATGACAGTGTTGACCAGTATGCGTGGAAGCTGCTTAGGTGCAGGTGTGGTGATGATCTTTACATGAAATTATTTACGAGAAATAAAGACACTACAAAAGATAAGTTTAAAAATATCTTTGATTTTGACAAGGAACATCATTCTTTATTTGGTTCAGTGTAATGGTCATTGTGAAAAATACACCTTAATCATGCACCAAACCTCCATGTTCTGAAAAAAAATCACTGTGAAAAATAAATCACTCCATCAAGGAGAGTAATTAGGGTTGTTGTATCTAGAAGTCGTTTCTTGGCATCCTTACTCAAAAACCTAGAGAACCACAATACAAGACCAGACGAGGCTCTTTCTTGGTTTCTAAGGGACAAGGCAACTATTTCCTTGAGATGTTGAGAACTTCGGCTTTTGTCCTTGGAAGAAGGCCAAGCAATCTTCACTGGAAATTGGTCCCTCAAGGATGACCAAACACTGTATTTTTACCACCCCCAATATATGAGGCATCCTGGAATCATCAGGATGAGAGACAAAACAGCACTGTTCTGCTGTTCTCAGAATTCCCTGACATTCATTAAAACATCAATCACTCCCAGCAAACTGCTACTTGACCAGGATCTTAAAAAATTTCCTAGCTTGATGATCATTTCTTCAGGATAAAAAAAATATACATGCCAAGATTTGTAAAACTTGTCTTGAAGAACACATATATTATAATGATTTTTATTTAAATTGGCCATATTTTATTTGTGAGGAAAGATTTAGGTTGAACCATTTCTAGACTGATATCATTAGAAGAAGGTTTTTGTGTTTTCAACTGACTTTGAATCACAGTAAGTATTACTCTCAAAACCACAGGGTTTCAGTTGGAGCCAATGAAATGACACCTGTGGGAAGAATAAGCTCACATATCACTAAGACTTGACCCGAAGTGATAACTGTATCTTGGGAGAGAGAAACATGGGTCACTAAGCAATGTTAGCATATTTGTAATATAACATGGGCAGTTTTTTTTTTTTTAAGATTTATTTATTTGTGCATACAGAACTGGGGTACAGGCCAGAGGCTCAGGGGTGGCGAGAGGCTTCACCAGAGACAGAGTGGGGGGCAGAACAGGCAGATCCACGAAGTACACTGCTGAGGGGAAGCAGTGGGTGGGTCAGGAGCGGTCTGCTGCGCCATGTGGTCACCTTCCCGGGGAGGCAGGGATCGAACTCATGTGGAAGTGGCTTTAGCTTCTTAGTGCTGTGCTTTAACCTGCTGCACCACCAAGGAGGGCCAACATGGGCAGATTTTAATGGTAAATGGTCAAATTATGAAAATATTGTTTCTTCTGGAAATGGTACTAATATTTATTAGTATTTATTACCCTAAAAAACCCATAGAACTAATTTAAGTTTGATATTAGGCATTAATATAAACTAATATTAGAAGCAATGAGAGAGTAAATGATGGCTTAATACTAAATTTGAATCATTGTTTTATAGATGTATATAATTTTTATAGGCTTTCTGGAATTAAACATAATGAGGAAGATGACATTTGAGTATATTCTGCAGAGTCAATCTACCTTAGAGACACACAGAGTATTCATTTAATAGCTTTGACTCAGGATAAATTGCTAGAATTTTGCCTTTTTCCTTACCTAAATGTTACAACTACCAGTAACATCTATGGCATAATATTCTTAGAGGGAATACATGCATTAAAAAAGGAAAGCATTTAGAATAGTATAAGTTTCATTCCAAACTATAGATCCAGTTTATTACACATGATCAACTTATACCCATTTCTATTACATACAATAAAAAAATGATTTTTTCATTATAGTCTGTAAACCATTATTATAAAATAGAAACATTAAATTAATATAGATATTCAGGATCATAGAATCTTGAAGTTTTTGAAGTCATTTCAAGTGTTCGAACTCTGACTTCTCCACAGGTAAAGCAGTGGAGCATAATGCGTAGATGGAATAAGACAGACGTGCCTTACTTCATCCTTGTGGGCCTGACAGATGCTGAGGACATCCGGCTGGTGCTCTTTGTGCTGTTTCTGCTGATCTACCTGGTCACCGTGCTGGGGAATGCGGGCATGATAACGGTCATCCGCCTGGATGCCCAGCTGCACACCCCCATGTATTTCTTTCTCAGTCACCTGTCATTTCTTGATATCAGCTATTCAACTGTCATCACACCAAAAACCTTAGAGAACTTACTGACTTCCAACAGGAAGATTTCCTATGCAAATTGCTTCACTCAAATGTGCCTTTTTGTGTTCTTTGGTGCTTCAGAATGTTTTTTTCTCTCCTCCATGGCCCATGACCGCTACGTAGCCATCTGTAATCCTCTCCACTACCCGGTCGTCATGTCCACAAGACGCTGCTGGTCTCTCGTTGTTGGGTCCTATTTAGTAGGTTTCACTGATTCTTTAGTCATTAAGCTATGCATGAGGAAATTACATTTCTGTAACTCCAATGTCATTCATCATTTTTTCTGTGATTCCTCTCCAATGATAGCCCTTTCTTGCACTGAAACCCAGGACACTGAAGTCATGATTTTCATTTTTGCTGGCTCCACCCTCATGATCTCACTTATTACACTGTCAGTGTCCTATGTGTCCATTCTCTCGACTATCTTGAAAATTAATTCTGCTTCAGGAAAGAGAAAAGCCTTCTCCACCTGTGCCTCCCATCTCTTGGCCGTCACCATCTTCTATAGCACCATGATCTTCAGTTACTTAAGACCAAGTACATCCTACTCCCTGGGAAAGGACCAGGTGGCTTCTGTGTTTTACACTATTGTCATCCCCATGCTGAACCCACTCATTTACAGCCTCCGCAACAAAGAGGTGAAAAATGCTGTCCTGAGAGTCCTGCAGAGGAAAGAGGGCTCCAGGCACTGGAAATAGTGATGCTGAGGGTTTAAGCTCCTTTCATTCTTCTCCCCTGAAGAGTGTTTTTGTAAGGCCTCTCTAAAACAATTGACTCTTCATTCATTTTTGTATCTGTGAACCTTCTGTTACTTGACCAAATATGATCTTGGGTTTTTCAAGAATTATGTCTTTAAAAATTCATATTGTAATGAAAATCATGAAATAGATCTTGCATTTATGGTCTCAGTTTTAGGACAAATGATGGACAAAACAAGAAACCACTGTTGTCATCTTTTATTTATTTTTTTATTACCAATCCCCTTGAATACATTAAGATTAGATAATTTATTGTGGAAAAGAACTTTTTTTGCCACAATAAAAACAGGTTCAGAGATTATTTAATACATTATATTCAGAGAACTCTAGCAGACTGACAATGGACACCATTTTGGAAACAGAGACCTGGATTTACAATTCTATCTGCTTACCATTTTAGTTGTAGAAGCTTCAATAAGTCACTTAACTTTTAGCCTCGGCTGTACAAGATAAATAATAATTTCACGTTCATACAGTTTTGTAAAGATTAAACCAGATGTTGGATGTAAACCATTGAAGGCATTTCTAGTAAATATTAGTATCATAGGACTTCATTCTTATTATCTTTAATGTACATTTCTAACAAATTTTCACTTGTTTTTCTACAAATTATCTTTGATTAATTTAATTGACAAGCACATAAAGATGAAAAAGGAAAATCTCAAAGCTTCACAATTTTTGGACTTTTAATGGTATTGGAGAAAATGGAAAATATTGAAAAATATAAGGAACTAGACACATCCAAATAGTTAATGACAGCTTAATGTGCATTCTTTAGTTAAGTCCATGTGCACAGACATTGCATATAAGTGAAATTTCTGGTCTGTCTTATGTATTTATTGCAAGTTTATGATAAGCTTGAACTTTTTAAAAATTTCTTTGTCATTGAAACATTGTAAGATAAACGCAATATTGGTGCATGAAGACAATCAAGACTCATATCACATTACTAAGAACCCCAAGTGTTGCATACACATCAACTTAAAACTCCACATGTAATAACATAACTTTAGTTTCTACCTGAAAATATGTGTAGCAATACAGTACCTACCTGCCTGTGACATGTTAACAGTCTCAGTCACTGGCAATTTGTTGAAATTCTGTACATTTTAATAGCTTCTAAGGTTTGCTATATTCTTTACAGACAGATTACTGAAAGAAATGCTTCACTCACTATTCTGCATATTTTAATAGCCTCAGTCACTGCCAGTTTGTTGAAATTCTGTTCATTTTAAAACACCATTGCTTTCTTCTTGGTTCTAAGGTTTGTTATGTGCTTCAGAAGTAAATTATCTAAATAAATGCTTCACTCATAGTTCTGCATATTTTAACAGAGAAAAGTTGTAAAGCTAGGAAGTGACAATAAATTCAGATGATATGGCCACCATTCACTTTAGTGATGGAGAGTGAAAAAATTTCCCTTCTCTTGAAAGATTTTATTTACAGGAAAAAATAACGTGTCAAACTAAACCCAAATAAACCCTAGAAATTTGATTGCAGGCCTGAAGCTACAGGAAAGTGCAAATACGTTGGGAGAGATATTGGTGGGAGGGCCCAGTGGTCCAGGGTCCAGGGTGCTATCATGGGGGAATGGGTGGTGACCTATATCTGTGGGGCTGTGAACCTATCCCTTAAATCATCTACAGTATTGTAGATGGATTGTTTCCCTATAAAAACAAATAAATAAATAAAATGATGACAATAATTAATTTTCTCTACATAATGTGGAATGGATGATTTTTGTTGCAATTTTCTAACATCAGAGCATCTTACTCTTATGGTTATTTCAAAGACTATAAAGAAGGTGATTTTCCACATAACAAGTTTTTGATGTTGTTTTGTTTAAACTTTTGTAAT